GGCCGTTATGGTCGTTTCGACACTTCACTCACCCCTCAGGCTCGGTCTTAACAGATCTTCGCCTTCGCCATTTCGCACCTTCGCGGTATTCAAATGCTGACGTCAGTGCAGCGAAGATGCTTTCAGTTGGGCATGTTTCTTCGCACCTCCAGAGCCTTCGCCAGATCGCGCCTGGTGGATGTGAGATTGTTCTGTTTGATCACAAACAAGGTCTTTCGCCTGTGTAGAAGCCACGGCAAACGAGAGACACCGACAATGATAAACAATAGAGCGATCACAAGATATTAGATAGTGTATGATGATAGTGTATAATTGATTGATTCTTTAGAAAGATAGATCTGTTTGTTTAGATTAGATGTATTTGTTTGTTAGAGAAGAAGGATGCAAGAGAAGTCGCTGGCAGCAGTTGATTCTCTCTTTTTTGGAGATGCGTACCTCTGAAATAGAGGCTTTCGAACTACAAGGAGTGCCCACAAAGCTGGCAAAAATGAGCTCACCAGGGGAGGAATTCGCGCATTCTGATCAATTGGCACAGTCTCCTGTGGCTGATGATGATGATGATGGGGACTCTCCTTTGATAGCCCATGATGATGGCCAACAGGTAACATTCCATCCTCCTCGTCGGGTTGCCAGTCCTGTCGTTGTACCAAGAAGGGTTCTGACCACTGCATCGGCAAACAGTGGCTTTTACTCGCTAATGGATCCACCACCAGGAGCTAAACAGCATTATGGTAAATGACTTCCGCACAGTTTGTGGAATGCACAGCCACATTCCCACCTGCAGGAAGAGTTATGCCTGACGTGACAGCAGCTGGTTTCCCGATCCAGTATCAGCCGGAAGTGTCCAATGCTACCAACGCAACACAAGCCCCAGTGGCTGAGACGCCAGTGGCCGAGAAGCCACAAGGTGCACAAGGAAGGCCACCAACTGCCCTCCAGCAGCACAAGCACGAAGAAGAAAGCCAAAGAAATCAAGGAGCTACCGGGTGTGCTTAAGGGCTTCACTTTCGACCACCGAAACCGGGTGGTTCTTGCTGAGGATCTCAACACCAGAAGCAAGAGTGACAAAGGGCCATTCAAAACAGCAATAGGAATCCGTGTCGGCAGAGAGAACACACCCAGTTTCCAGTATTTCGACTTGAAGGCAGGCGACCTAAACTCTTCACAGCTACGTACACTGGCAAAGAACTTTGGTTGTAAAAATATTGGCTCTGCCTCTATGTTTGATTGCCGAAGGCAGATGGCAATGGCCATTGAGATGGGAACCACCTATGACAATATGCAAGTGCCCAGTACTATTTCGAGCACAATGGAAAGGAAGATCCGGTCTCCTATCCGGCTTATAAATACAGTCTTCCTCCACTTCTTTCATTGACCGGTTTGTTGCTTTGACCAAAAGATTCGATAGGAAATGCATTCGAACTGAATTCAGGGCAGAGCCCTATAAAGGCGTACTGGAGTGACATCGCTGCTACTTACGTGATCAGAGAAACAACGCTACGTTTGAGAAAGGTCTTGTATTTCGTATCTTGAAGGGGATGATGCCGATGAGTGGCTCGCCAATGCTGTCGAAGAGCAAGGCATCAACCCCAACGATTTCAGTAATCTCTCTGCAGAAAGCTGCCAAGCTCACATGAAAGATCTGTTGAAAGTCAAGAGAGCAAGTGATCATTGCGAAGACAAGGTCAGGGCAGCACCAAGTATTCCAAGACTACCTCAAGAGAACTCACCTGACAGTTCGCGGTAAAAACGCCATGCCTGGAGTCCCTGTTTATTATCTGGATAAGCGGGTGAAGGAACAGCCCAACATTGACACCGCGCACAACGTATTTATGCCTCAGGGTCTGACGTCCGACTCATCAGCTCCAACCAACAAAGGAGTCTCCACTCCTGCCTCCCGCGACTCTGACACAGAAGAGGCCTCAAGTGGATCCAAACGAGATCGGCAACTCATGGCTACACTCCAGCAGGCAACTTCGGCAATTCAACAAAGCCAAACCGAAGCAACTGCAATGCGCAGATCCTACATGGACCAGCAACAATACAGGGAATACGACGTTTGTGTGACCACTATACTGATATCCAGGACAGCAACAGCGAGGCACAAGAAGAGAAGCTCCCATTTGAAAAAGCGAGCTATCTCAGCTTGAAGAAACCCTCAAAGATTCCCAAGGACGAAAGCAAGTGGAGATACGCAAAGAGAGCTAAGCAGTGACATGGGAATGACTGAGAGAGATTAAAGTATGTTGCCGGCTCTCCATTGGTCGTCTTCTTCTTCTTCTGCTGCTTTTTTATTTTCGATTGATAGTCCGTTCGCTTCAGTTCAACGTCTCAAACTCGCGAGCCATGGCTTCGCGAGAGATGGGAAAGCTGATCAGATCGTCGACGAGCCTGCCCTTCCAGTGCAGTCAACTGAATGGGATTGCGAATTTTTTTTTTAAAACCATTTTCGTCATGTAGGAACTGATGGATAGGTATGCTGGTGTTCTTCGAAATCGTTCATATGCCACATGCTCTCTTGGATCTCGAGACGTCTTTGTTTAGCCTAAGTCTTTCGTTGATGACAAAGTTGTGTAGGCGAGCTATAGCTTGGACCATTGCTCCAACCCTGGTAATAGAAACACCAACCGATCGCCACAAGATACCCCATTTCATCTGCATAAGTCCAAGCCATCTCAACACGAATAGCGGCACTGGCTAGCGCATAGAAGTTGAAGTTGTCGTACAGCGATTCAATCTATCCACCTCCTGATAATAGTTACCATGTGTTCTGTGGCCTGATAAGCAGCATCTCCAATGACACATATGCCTGGAGGCAGAGACTCTATTAGAGTGTGTAGATTGCACTTCGAATTGCTCCTCTCTATCTCCTGTCACCCCAGGTGCAAGTGAGTGCAATAAAGGTAGAATCGCGAGTGATGGTCTGCAGCAGCTTGGATGTTGACACCATAGCATTGGTAGTGTCCTGAGAAGTAGGAACGGACGTTTCCAACATGTCTTTCTGCAGGAACCTTAGTGCGTAAGAGATAGCCATCCACAACAGCCACACAGTTGTTGATTGCCACTTCATCACTTATGGAACCGAATCCCTCAATTGCCTCCTTTATATCCTCGGGCGACTTAGGAAAGTTGATGCTAAGCTTTGGGGCAGTTGTTGACACCAGTTAATCGTCTTCCAGATGACACGATAAAAAGAAGGTTTTGATAAGCCACCGATGTCACAGATATCCAAATAAGAACCACCTGCTAACCACCGAATAGTACAATACAGACATATCTCTGGGAGAATGGGTCCACCCCTCCTGTTTGCAAACGTCTCTTGCACTAGAAGATCAGTGTAGAGGTAGCCCAGTAGGATGTCGAATGACTCTTTCTCCATCCGAAGGCGTCTCCCAAAAGTCCCACGGGATGCATGTTTGTCACTGTATTCCTGCCAAGCTAAACGCTGTTCGTACAGAGATTTGGCTCTGTTGGTTGGACAAAGCTTGAATACACACACAAATATCAAGGTTAACAACAGTACGTCTGCGTCCACAGCACTCAGTTCAAAGAAAGAGTCCATGTCGATCATGATAAATGGTTCTAGTTGGCTAGTTTACTACTGGCAACTAGCGCCACATTGACCAATTTTGACTGGCTTTGGACGAAGTAGCATGATGCGAGAGGCTGCTGGCTCCAGCACATCATCTAATACTTATGGTCCCTAAAGGATACTTAGGCGGCGAAGATCAACCTTCGCGATGATTGAGAATGCTTCCATTGTTTGCCACGAAGATGAATATTCGCCGTTCAGTCATGCTTCATGTCCTAAGTGACGCAATGGCGAAGCGGCGAAGGTGCGAAATACTCTGTTAAGACCGAGCCTCAGCGTACATGTACCTCTGAGTGGTAAATCCAAGAGGTACGGTAGACCTTGATATCTTTTTGGAGTTTGCACCAAGTTTTCATCCCCTTTTTCCATTTCGGCAGCACCCTTTTAACCACATACAATACTGGGAACACAGAGAGCAAAACAAAAACCTGCCGCGATGAGTTCACCAAATAACATTGAAGGGCAAGATCAAGAGCCTTCACATCCCTTTTGGCTCCTTCGTAACTGTTCTACTAGTAACAATGGCAATGCAGCAGCCCCCCCTCTTATGTCCGGTGAATATTTCTCTGAAGAGGACGACTACTCTGACGACGACTAATGGGAAGAAGAAGAAGAAAGAATATGTGGTGTTGGCGGCTGTGGTTTACAACAGGAGATCCTGACGATGCCATCGCAAACGGTCATGCTGATGCTGAAGCCAATGCGCTGCGAGGGAGGATGCTGGCAAAGACGACGAAGACGACGACGATCGACGACCACGAACCCATAGGCACCAGTTATTGAGAACCCGAGCCTTCTCATCCATTCCGAAATAGGTGGTCATGATGATGTGGTCATACCGCTACGTGTACTGGTACTCAGTACAGTACTTATTAGCGCAAGACACTCTTGTGGGTTAAAGCTTTTGTGAAAATTATTGATTTAATGATCATGGAAGCAGCAAAAGAATTATAATCCCTTCTTTCCTTGAAGAAGAGGTAAGAACGTCGATCTAGTCATGGTGACTGTGATGCCGAAGAGATACTTATTGAAGGACAAGAATCATGTCCTCTGGAGTATCCCATACATGTATTCGTACCGGTGAGGCATGTTCAAGGAAGCAGTTCACAGCCCACAGAGCCTTTCACATTTGAGATCAACTGTCTAGGAGTAAGAGCATACATCGATTCACAGTACGATGTGCGAGGTACATACCGTACATACATGTAGTAAATTATTGTTCATGACCAGGGATCCCGTCATTTCACCAGCCAATTGACACGAAACTGAGCAAAGATTCTCTTCCCTGATGCTTCGAGAGGCAAACAAGACCACGTCATCAGTGGGGCTATTGCAATGGACACCAAAAGGTCATAACGTTTTGTATCACCAGTCGTCCTCGCAAGCATACTATTATTAAATACTATGTCATATATGTCATTGTAAGTTCAACTCCAATAGTTTTCATCCGTCTTCAAATCTGAAGCTCACAAACCCAAAATCTCCGCAAAAAGCGACAGAGCGATAGAATCCTTCAAGCTAGGCTAGGCTAGCTAGCTAGTAAAGAGACCAACCAAAGCAATCGCAAAAACATCGACCATGGGACTTCTTTCCAAAATGTTCTACAAGAAGGAAGCGGACGACAAGTCCGTTTGTACCTCCAGTTCGCGCACCAGCAGTTCGCGCACCAGCGAAGGTAGCATCCGAAGCAGCAAGTCCAAGAGAAAGTCGTCGAGAAAGTCCAAGAAAGATCGTATTCTGGAACTCACGTCCGATGATGATGCTCATCGCCATACTCCCAACGAACAAATCATTGCCAACTACCTCGAGGTGCTCAACGGGCACGGATCTGTGGAAGAGATGCTCGCGTTTTTTGCCTCTCCCGATGTCGGTGTGTATCCGGATGGCGGAGATCCCGCGACTGCCGCCATGTTTGCCAACATTCTTCGAGATTGCTATCTGAGTTTCGAAGACATGTGCTTTGATGGTCATTCCGTCAAGGAAGTCAAGCCAGGTGTCGTCCTCTTGGAAGACAATGTCGTGGCGGGTACGCACACTGGAGCTCCCTATCAGCCTCTTCCCTCCTTGGCTGCCGTTCCGGCCAGTGGAAAGCGCGTTACATTGGACCCGGAACGTGTCTTTTTCCAAATCAAAGACGGTAAGATCACCAAGATGGATGTCATTTCTCAGGGAGTTCACACTGGCGTGGAAGGTCTCTACGTATTGGCAGGAGGTAGCTTCTGAACTTTGCAAGTGGGTACCCCACGGAAGACGATTGGTATGGTGCTCCGATACCCCACGGAAGGAAGCCGTCGTCAGATTTGAAGATATAATATCAACGATTGTAAATGTATCCATCAGTTAACATACAGCTGTTCCTACGTAAACTGAACTAGCCAAGGCCCAAGGGCAAACTGGCCTGAGGCATGTGGCAACAGGTGACCTAAGGCAAGGGAGGGGGTGAGGGGTACAACGTGAGCAAAGAGTATCCGTGCAAGTGGATGACTGAGATAGACGTGAAGAAGTCAGCTGACATCAGCCTAGTAGATTGGATTGGAGGACTGCTTAGAGAGCCATGCCGAGGTCGTCCACTCCGTATTCAAAGATTTATTCTAAACTATTTGGGGATCAGATCCAAGGGTCATGGAGCACAGGGCAGCCAACCACCAACCGACCCGACAGGACAAGGTTGGATTGAACCAGATCATCAACATCTTTTGGAAGACCCTCAATGAGGTGCCTTGAAGACCTTCAGATCCAAGGGACAAAGAGCACAAGTGCAACCAACCACCAACCAGGATCAGGCAGCCAGGAACAGGGACACAGGAACCAGGCAGTTGGATTGAACCAGATCATCAACATCTTTTGGAAGACCCTCAATGAGGTGCCTTGAAGACCTTCAGATCCAAGGGACAGAGCACAAGTGCAACCAGTTGCGAGCGCCAAGGATCAACGAGCGTGGATGGAGCGTTGCCTATGAAACGGCCCACAGACTTCAAACAGCTTTGACGGTTTAAAAGGGGGCTCCCAAACGTGCTTCGGCGAAGCCACCCGCAACACCACCGTGGGGCTGATGAGGCTGGAACACGAACGGCCGCGGCACCATTGTCAAGACCTACGTTGGGAACTAAAGAGGGTGAGGCTGCAACGGTCGATGACCGCTCAAACAAACAAGCAAGCAAACATGGCACAAGACAGGAACACTGGACTTACCTTGCACGAGTACGCTTTCCATCTCCACTGGAACCACCGCAAGACGACACCTTTCCCAGCTGTACCGGTATATTGACCGGGGCAAAGCCAGGTAGTCTCAACCACGGGGCTCCCGAAGGAACCACGGGCCCCCGAAGGGGCGGCTGCAAAAGCAGCACCGGGAAAGGTGTCATCGTCATGCATTGTCGAAGAAGATGAAGTTGTGTCGAGGAGCAAACGGCGCAAAGTGTTTGTTCGCATTGTTTGTTTTTGCTTCCTGAGAAGAAACGGATAACTTGCCAGTGTCGTCTTGGTTTCGAGTAGCTTTTGAAAATCAAACTGAGCTCGTCATGGTTACAGATGGTTTTTCCCAAGATTGAATCATTCAAATTCAAAATGAAACGCTGACTCTGGGTCTTCGGTCGGGGGTTGCTTCCAAGGCGAATGAGATACCATACGGTACTACCGTAGTTAGGGGCTATTGGGTAAAAGAAGGTATCAGCCATCAGCCAAAGTGCGAGATCGAAAAGCTATCCATCCGTCATTGGCCGCTTCCTGTCCTCGGCCGATCTTCGCCACCTCGAGGGGCTTCAAAAGGCTTGGCACTTGAGTCTTCAAGAAAGAACTGGAGCGAGCTTCTAGAAGAGTTAGTCTAACTGGAAGAGAGAAGACCTTTATTTTGATGGTGGCTTTCCTCCTTCACCATGAGAATGGAGAATCAAGCTTGGGTGACGAGGACACAGCGAAGAAGCTTTCGGAGACCCGAGGAAATGTCACCGACGAAGATTACATCACGGAAGAAGTGGCTTTTAAAAGATCTCGCTCTACTATTGTCCAGCTGCCTAGTATGATGGTGGACATGTCTCCTGGCAAATCATGGTCACCTTCAAGAGTGCAGTCAGGCAGCCACCGCGGACAATGACAATCTTGCATGGAATGGAAATGGGGTGAAAGAAGATGAGCAACCGCGAGCACGGTGAAACGGAAATCGAGGCCGATGAAGAAGAAGAAGGAGGAGACGACAACCTCAAGGATGTCAAAGATCGTACCTTGGCTTTTTTTGTAAAGTCAATCCTCGGTTTGGTGGTCCCGTTGGTTTTTGATACGTCAAGGAAAGAAAGCAGCAATCGGGTTCTTGTGAATATTAAGATAGATAAAGACAAGGAGAATGATATGATGGTTAGGGGTGAGGTGAAGCAATGGGAGACTTTCGCGCCGCTAGGATGAGAGACTATCGTGGGATGTACTACCAGAGAGGCAGCTTAGCACAAAGTAGTTTTCTAGAACTCAGTTAATATGTACTTGTTATGAAAGAATTGGTAAATGACACAGCGAACAGAAACAAGCATCTCGACCGCAGAGGAGGAGAAAGCAAACCATGCAAACAAGGCCGTAAGCAATCGCGTGCTTACAACTCCGTGATCAATGGTTCCTTCAAGTTGTTGCCCTTCAATGCGCGACAACGGGTTGTGGTCCATGCGATGGCTCCCAGCAAGGAGGCGAGTCCAACTCCCAAGACGGCACAGGCAATCCACATCAAGTTCCAATCGGGTACAATCTCTACTTCGGTTCTTCCAGCGCGGTAGGATCCGTACGTGCGTCTATCGACCGTGACACTGGTTACTCCACCCTGCAAGGTAGCCTCCATGACTTCCTCCAAGGATGCGTATTCCATATCCGTCTTGGTACGGAACTTCATGCATTGGTTGACATTGGTGTATCCGGCGGCATCGTCACATTGGAAGAGTCCATTGTTGGGATCATTGTCTTCCAATCTACGTTGTTTGCCCTCCGCGAGTTGACGACGGCGACGACCGTCGTCGCCTCCATACCCTTGATTCAAGGCATACGCACGACAAGGCTGGCAGACACGGTAGATTTCCATGGCTTCGTTCCAGTAATCCAAATACTCGACGGACAATAGGTCGCCGTCACCGTCGCCGTTGAGCAATACCTGCTCCATGGTGACTTCGTCACCTTCATAGTCCACAGAGCATCGTGCGTCCGTGTACAATCCGTAGGTCATGGTGGCATTGGGGAGTGCCTTGGTATCATAGTAGAGCGCCGTACCATCCTTCAAGTATGTTTCCGTTTCAGAGCAACCTTCGGGCCATGCACCGTAGTTGTTGTACATGAAATTGTATTCGTTTCCTTGCCAGACACAGTATCCTTCGTGCTTGAATAGTTGCTCAAACCACTCTGTGTACTCTACTTCCTTGTAGTATCCCATGAGATGCCAGTTTTTGGATCCTTCTGGCATGTGGCAGTTCATTCGTTTGCAGGTGGTTTCGTCGATTTCTCCATCTTCATTGACATTTCCAACCTTTTCACAAGCCGAGGTATCCCAAGTTTCTGCGTACGTGTCCCAGAACTGGTATTCTCCAATGCCAAGGCCCGTGTAGCCCAAGTCGACGTACTAGATATAGATATAGTTCAGAAGAAGAGAAAGAGAAGCAAGGCAAGCAAAAGTCAGCGGGGCTCTCCTAGCTAGCTATAGCTAAGAACAGCCAGGGTAGGTATATGAATACGTACAGCAGCCCAGAGCAAGTACCGCTGACAGGGATCTTCTTCTTCGTCGTTGAGTTTTCGACGATGACGTCTTCGATCTTCTTGTGCTGGATTGCAGTCCGTGTAGAATCCCACATAGCGCCACGCCTGAGCGTACGCATCGTAGTAGGTTTCGGCCGAGTCGACATAGGACAGTACTTGCTGACTTTCACTTGATTCTTCACTTTCTTCTTGCAAGAGACGCTTTTGCGCTTGTCGCAAGGCTCGTTGTTGCTGGGGTGTGGTGCCTTTGGCTGCCGGCGCCGGTTGGAATTCGACACCCTGTTTGTTGTGCAGTGAGATCCAGTCTTTGCCCGTGCTGGGTGGAACGGCATTCTGATGCTGCTTGCGACCACTGACGAGAGATGTCAGTGTCGCGGCGACCAGCACCAACGATTGTAATCCAAGAGGAGCCATGGTCAAGTCAAGTCAAGTCAAGTCAGTTAGTGTGTCTTCAGAGAACCAACAGGTACCGGTACCAGCAAGCAAGCAATGGATGGATACACTGTAAGTATTCCAAGTCTGCGGGATAATGGTTTTGGGGGTATCTGAACAAAGAAACATGAGATGAAAAAGCTTTGGCGCTGCTGTTGAGTCGCAACGGATGGATATGGTGTTTAGCAATATCCTGTCTAAGCAATATGGTTACTTAGAACGTTGAGTCTGGTTGAATTTGGCAGCGCCTACTTGCAAATTCATCTTTCCAATCTCTAGCTGTCCTTATGCACTGGATAGATAGATGTATACCGTTACCATTGATTGTGCTGAAAGCTTGCTAGCTAGGAAGTGGAAGAGGTTGGATAACTATCGGATATTAAGAGCTATACAAACTTCAGCACGAAGATGGTATCATAGCTAAATGGAACGGTCACATGTTTCTAAGTGCTCATCGGATACCCCATGCCTCAAGCAGTTCAACGCAGCGATATGCGCAGAGTGATGATAACAAACACCAATCTACTCTTCCTGTGATAGCTATTAGTACATCCAACTCGTGGTACCGGTACCAGAGCTGTTGAAACGGGAAGGTAGCATCGCATCTATCATCTTACGTCTATCTCGATAGTGAGTACTGTAGTTCTCAGAGTGCCTTGCCGAACTACAAGCTAAGAAAGTAAGAAAGCTACACACGGGCCGCGAGCATCATCTCCCCAAAACTCTCACAATTTCAGATTTCAGAGCACCTCTTCCATCCTCATCCGTTTCGTTTCATAGCCATAATAATACTGGCGGCAAACTGCAAACAGCAACAACACCTTGCCACTTTTCAGGCTTCTGTCTCTCCAGCAACGATACAACAGGTGTCTGTCAAGCAAGCAACGATACAACAGGAATAAATAAGAAAAGAGACTGCCATGAGGATTCTGTTAGCTCCACTGCTCTTGGCAGCTCTGGCCCATGCCAACAAGGATAGCACGTACTACAACAATGGAGTCACCAATCCGAATGTGGAACAAGCCATGTACTGGCACGAAGGATGGAATGTCTTGGAGGATTTGTCGCAATTTGACAAACTTTACGTCACCTATCATCACTGCGCGTAAGTACCAGGTATAGACTAGTATCTATACATATGATACCGTATACCTACGTTGGGGCTTCAGGTTTGTTACCCTCTTCGATCTTGAAACTGAAAATCTAACCCATCTTTTCTCATCTCTTGATCCTGCATGTATCTTACCACACCTTACCTTGTTTCATTCTTCAAAATCATTATGTACGGTGTATATATAGCTGGGAAGCACCCACTGGAGACGACGACAATGGCGATGGTGGAGGCGATGGCGACGATTGGTACTTGAACAGTGTCCCCTCCTTTCGGGCCAATGTCGCATACAGTCTCTACGGAATTCTCAAGGGTCAAAAAGATTCCGGATGCAACAAAAAGACGTACATCAACTCGTTTCATACCACACAAGGATTGGAATCCTTTACCAATTCCATGGCAGCGGCCGGATTGACCAATTTGTTTGAACTCGTCGATGGAGATGAGGACGAAGACGATGGTCTCGGTGGTGGTACCGTCACATCCACCTGTTACCAAGACGAAGATGAAGACAATGAAGGCGACGACAATGTGAACAATGGACAAAAACTCTATCAGTCCACCAGTTATGGATTGGGATGTTTATCCGATGGAAGCAGCAGTAGCAAAGACTTTGCCATTCATACGTACGATGGTGGATACTGCGATGCCAATTCCATTACGGGAACCGTCGATGAACTGGAAGATTTGAACGAACGACTCGACTTGGCCAAGTGCGTTCCCATTTTCGAAGGTGGATACTACGACGCCGAAGAACAGGACGACGAAGATGTGGATCCTCTCGATGTGTTGGCCACATCCCGGGCGTGCCGCATCCACGATGGCACCAAGAGCTGTCCCGATCCCTACGGACAACTCAAGCAACGAGAACGACAGCTCAACCAGGCGACTGGTGCCTTGTACGCGGGACCCTTTTGGACGGCTCGTAAAGTCATGATCACGGCATGGACCATGATTGCCGTGGGAATCTTTTCGTTTCTGTCTGCCATTGCCTGGGCCGTCAATGACTACATGGATGACCGAACCGGTGGTACCAAGAGTAGAAAGGTGCAAGAAGACACTGATAGTGTCATGGATCCTGTCAAGCCATCTCGTGGACGCAGTGAACTCAGTGAAACCTTGTCGAGTGTCGCCAGTACCATCAGCAAGAGTTTGGGATTGACATCCGATAGTCATTCCAAGAGTTCCAAAAACTCCAAACGGTCCAAGCGAAGCAGCAAGTCAAATAAGTCCAAGCGATCGGGCAGGAGCGGTGGAAGTCGTCGTTCCAAACGAAGCAGTGGAGGAGGAGGTAACGATGACGTTGATGCTCCCGAGACGATCAACTTTAGTCCCAGTTACCGTTCCGAGAATACGGACACGAGCAACCTGAGTGCCGAAGACGTGGTTTTGAACAACAACAACAACAACATTCAAGACGGCGTGGAAGCCGCCCCAAGCACCGAAGATGCATCGGTGCAGGCCAGCGTACGGGAAGCCGTGGGTGACATGGTGCACTTTCTCAAAAAGACTTCCGAGACTTTCTTTGACGAGCCCGAAGATGAAGTCATTGAGAACAAGGGAATTCCCGATGAATTGCCCAAGCCGTCGTCTTCGCGACGAGTACCGTCCGAAGCCGAAGTGGATTCCAATTGGACCGAAAAGGAAGAAGCCGTCTCCAAGAAAAAGTGGAGGAAGCGCCGGTGGTTCAAGAAGATGCTGGGCAAATAAATATAAAGAGGCGAACGAACCGCAGCCATCCAGCCATGCTGGCTGCAGCAACGGAAGTGAGAATGCGCAGATGGAAGCTCATTGCATGAGACGACGAGAACGCTACTACGGCGCGAACATAGTTGTCGCATCCAATCAAGACAACTCTCTTCCAACCTTCCTCCAGACCTCCTCCTGTCGTCACAGGAGTATATTCTTCTCTGGAGTCTCTCTTGACACACTAATCATACTGACCGTAGTAGTTCCATGTTGTTCATATCTTTCTAGTGCTGTTCTCTCTTTTTGTTCGCGATGACGCCAGAACTGTGGGTCGGACGGACGTCAACATCACCGAGGAGGGGACCAATTGGACGAGTCGAGTCAAGTGCAGGAGTGCCAAGCAGGAGTGCCAAACACCTGTGTTCAGATCTTGACTCTGAGCGAAGTGGACGGGATATCAGGTCATCCATCCTCTGTCGCCCCTTGCTTTTTAGACGTCCTGCGGCCAACACTCGCTGTCTGTAGAGGCAAGCAGCTGAGCAGGACAGCAGGACGGCATCATCGCCACTGCACAGCTACAGCTACAGCTACCATGTACAGAAGCAGACCACCATCCCGAAAGTTCACTTAGCTACGCCGGTACTGAGTAGTAGTTTCAGAGAGCCCGTTCATGCCAGTGCCTGTAGTTTTGATGCTGTGACTAGCTAGAAACAAAGAAGGCAGGCCAAGTATCACCTCTAGCTAGCCAAATTTACCATGCATCCAAGCAGCTATCAATCCTAGCAATTGCCTGCACCTCGAACTGCATTGCCCACTGTAGCTCGCTGTGCTTTCAGCAAGCAGTTCCAAAAATTAAGGCGGCCAACCATCACACGCCGTCCAAGACGACTTTGATAGCCAAACGCATTGATAACGTGGGAATGGCTGGCTCTACCAGCTATTAGTATTTTAAATAGTCAGTAGCTAGCTCTGGAGTCTAGCTGTTTGATGTCTGATGCCTGATGCCGCGGATAGAAAAGAACTTACCGGTCCAGTCATCATCCAGACAATGGATGTTGAAGGGTGACGCCCATAGTTAGGCAAGTGTGGAGGAAGCAGCAAGAGGCATTTGGTTTACCGGTAGCCATGTTGCATGACCCTGAACCAAAAATAGAAGCCCAGGTCTTGCAAATCGTTCTTGTTCTTGCATAATCGTTCGTTCTTACGGCTCGCCGAGATATTCTTACAGGGCGGTTGAAGGGCAACGCCATCCTTTCCAGACCGTCCGTGGAGGAGATCCAGAGATGTTGGTACGGTACGGTACGGTACGGTACGGTACGGTACGGTACGGTAAAAGCAGTGGCTTCTGTGGGTACTGCGGTTCTCTTTAGCCAGTGCCTAGCTAGTAGCTAGTAGCCCAAAGCCAACCCAAGAGGAAGAGAGTCTTGCTGCATCTGCTGCTGGAGCCTTGCTGCCCCACCAAACAGCCCAAGGTAGGCCTCTCATGGGAAAAAACCAGACAGTAGCTTGCTAGAGTGGTGTAAGTGAGTTTGACCTGAGCCAGAGAGACCATGGTGCCAGCTAGCTAGCAAGCTGGTAGAACGTGTAACAGTAACATCTTCATCTGCCTATCTATCGATTATTAATAGTATACATTCTTTTTATCATGTTTGACCTGTGGAACACCTCGTGTGTTGCTGCACGGCCATTCTTTCTTCTACTAGTACCGAGTGACAATAGAACCCCCGTCTTTCCCTTGTCGCTCTCCATGGCTGCGTCTTTCGTTGCTTGCTTTCCTTAAGGAGAGACGGAGCGACGAACTGAACTGCGTCTTTCTTCTTCTTCGTCTTGCTGTTGCTTTTTGTGGACAACATGTTGGACGTACTTTCCCGCGTTCATTTGAATGTACGTATTGGTCACACACCCCTTGCTTCGCAGTGTCTTTTGCAAAAGTCGAAAGTTGTCCTCATCAATGACCGCCATCATGTCTTCGTCCAGACTGCCAAACTGTTGGGAAATCGAGGCATCCATGCTGCTGACACTGCTGCGCATGCTACCCGTTCTGCTGCTGCTACGCCCGTAATCAGAAAAGCTTTGATCCATGAGGGAGGTGACTCCTTTGGACCAATCCTCCAACGTATTGGACAGACTCTCGCCTATGCTCGTGGGGCGGCGACGGCTGGGGACTGGGGAAAGACTTTGGCTCATGGTGCGGCTCTTCATTGTTGGGATGTTACTAGTGCTGGCTGCTAACTATGATTGAGAGTTCTTGCTGTTTGCTTTTCTGTCCCCTCTTAAAATTGTGAGGGAAAAAGAAACTCGAGCTGCGGCTGTTCAAAGACACATCCATGTGTGAAAGAGCTTGCGAAAGTCAGCTCTGACACCTCGTAGTGAGCTGATAGTGACGCTACGGTACCGGTGGCTCCAGCATGGATGCAGAACGAGCAGGAACAAAGAAATCTACATGAAATCAATCTTCTTTCTTCGTCTTGATCGTGTTCAAGTACCAGTTGTACCGGTACTCGCTTTGCTGATACTGACAGTAGGATACAGTACTGTACAAGTCGCGTTGAAGGAAACAAGGAAACCGAAAAGCGCACCCACTACTTACAGCACCAGTTATTGATAAAAAGCAGGCTAAGGGGGCTGTGCAAGGGCGCATTTAACAAATTAACCCCAAGACATCGGAGGAGTTGCTTTCTGAACGAAGACAGCATGGCTACCGTACACGGAAAGCTGTCCCAATGCAAGCTAAAACATACAGTCTACTCGCGCTAATATTTATAATATTATATTTATCCTCGCTGTAATATTTATTAAATCTCGAGGCCCCCCCCTCAGTCCCGGGTATCCGTGAATGAATCTTTCGAGCAGCAACAAATGTCGTCCAATCCATTCCAACCGTTTCAATTTGACCGAGACAGCATGTAAAATGCCAATATCGATCCAATGGAGGTGGGATTCCTCGCACCTCTGCCCGTGGCTGTCTTGTCTGGGCCAGCCCAAGCGCTGGTTGTTTACGTGCAGTTTTCGAAGGATGGTTTCGAGGAGACAAAAACAATTCTCCTGGGAGCTGGGTGGTTTTGACCATGGTCAAGGCAAGAAAGCCAATGCAGCCCATGATTGACCACACCTGAACATGCTTGGCCAAATAAGAGAGTAGGCAATGGTCAACTGACCATGCTAGACGGTCAACTATGGTTGATTCTGGTTCTCTTTGTTCCTAATACAATTAATCAGTACTACTATCCTTTCTTCTTGTTCTCGTCTCATCACTGTTGCCACAGCTGTCGCCATAATGGTTGTTGTTGTTGTTGTTGTTGTTGTTGTTGTCGTCGTCGTGTTGTCGTTGTTAGTTGTAATCGTTTCGCGTGCGAAGCCAATTGCTGTATTCCACTTCCTCCTTTGATCGGTCATCATCTGATTCAGTCTCCGTGCTGTCGCTACCATAGTTGTCGCCATAATCGTAGTATCCACCATCATCGTCATCGTCCGGAGATACCTTATTCGATTCATCCTCCTCTTCAAAGGAAACCTTCTTCTCCGGTGGTTCATATTCATTCTGCTCAGAGAACATGATATCCTCATGCGACCTCTTTGGGCTGCGTCGATTGCTATGAGGAGGAGTGGAATTGGAGACATCCATGCCACCGAATGGCTTCTTGTTGTAGTATCGACCAGAGTTCTCTTCCTCGAAGGATGTCTTGGGAAGACCATCCACCTCCATCTCATCAGCCTTGGCCTCTTGCTCCGGCACGGTTGACACTTTCGGTGACACTTTCGGTGGTGGTGGTGGCACTGGTTTTGGTGGTGGTGGCCTTGTCGGTGTCTTCTTCTTCATGGTCGGTGGGGCAGGTGGCTTCAATCGATTGCCCCTTGGCTTGCGTTCCGACATCTCCACTTCTCCGGCTGGACGGCGGCTCTTGGCACCAGCCGTCTGAGTCCTGTTGCTGGTCAAGTAATCTGCATAGTCCTCGTTGCGGCGACGCTCTTCTTCTTTGCTCCACCCGCGATCACGGCCCATTCGATAGTCCTCATTGCGTGGCTGTTGCTGTTGACGATGCTGCTGGCGGGGCCTGGGTGCACTGTGGCTGCCATGGTGACTTGTGTTGCTGCGCGGTGTGGTCCGAGGACGAGGCGCTGTTTGTGGTGTTTGTGGTGTGCGCGTGAAAGTTGGACGCTGCTGACGTGGAGGTGTCCTGTAAGCAGCCGGGGCGGCGGCCGGCGGTTGGTTGAAGTAGCTGTTGCGGCGCCTCATGTCGTTCGAGTAGTTGGCATGGTCCTCCGTCATGTTGACAAGGCCGTAGTCATCATACTCTTCGTATCGGTTGTCACCATTGTCTAGGGCAACCTCAAATGCAGTCACCATGGTGCAGAAGGCCTGGAAAATGGCCCCTCCCCTGCTCCTGTCAGGTGGTGTGTTCCAGCGTCTGTGCTGCTCATGCATACCAGCGGGCTGAAGACTAGGGCCAATTCGGAAGAAACCTTCCAACTGCATGCCCAAATCAAATTCATACAGCTGCCACTGGCCAGCCAGCTTCTGGAGCTCTGGCTCCACAGCATCCGCCATATCTGGATCCTCCGCAGCAATGGACCCAAGTAGGAAGTCTGCCATGCACATTTTGTTGGGCAATCTCCAGCGAACAGCAATCCTAGTACCACCAGGGACCTGCTTTTGGGCAATCTTGATGTCTTCTGGCTTGCAGCCAGACATGGCAATTGCTAGGATGCTGACTCGGCGACGCAAGCGACGAAAGGGTGAGTCGGGATCATCACTCTGGAAGATTTTGACAATGATGGTTGGGGCGCCAATATGCTGGCGTGGATCCAAATTGATGTTCTGGAGACTCATCAACACGTCGCCCATGGCATCCGTGGCCGTGGCCGCAGCATTGGCAGCAGTGGTAGCAGCCGCAGTAGGTTCCTCGTCACCTCCTCCACGGACAGGAGTGGTTCGTGACGTCTTCTTCTTCGCTGTTTTCTTTTTTGGTGGCATCTCAACAAATCCAGGCAGGCCGTCAGGACGTCTTCCAGCTTGATCAAGGATGCCAATAGCACGGGTGAATGTACTTGGCAGACCTAAGAACAATCAATAATTGAGAAATGAGTGACTTGATGACAACAAATAACAATCAACAAGGAACTCCACTCACCGTTTCCAGTTTGAAAGTAGATATGAATCTTCCTCACGAGAGAAAGATAGTTGCGACGAAGGTTCCGACGGATGTACTTCCCAGAGTCAAGCCAGCCTTGCACTTTCGAATCAATGACGGTGGAAAAGTTGTTTGGATCAGCTCCGTTCGGCTCGATGATCTTCTTGGCCAGATACTTGGCGTCGGCCCCTTCAGATTCCCACTGCAATGGTTCGTCGAATTGGAATGCGTTCTCAGCAGCGTCCTCGACAACGTCCTCAGCAACGTCCTCAGCAACGTCTTCGTCACTGTCAGCAAGATAATCTATTTCCTGGTCAGACATTATGGTTGTGTTCAAGCAGAGTTCAAGCAGAGTATGAGCGAAATGGCGGTCAAACCGATTCAAACCAAGGGCTCCTCAACGAGTCGGCATCCTTGTAGAAACTGCAGCTTTCATGTGAAGCTGTATATAAGAATTATCTAGCTTTTGTATCATTAGGCGCCGGCTCTGGCCTTGTGTATTGAACAACTCCTGTTGTCGTTGGCGGCCCAGCGCCATTTCGAACGTTGTGAGAGGACTGCCAATGCACCAATCGGCTGCTACACTTTAGCGTGGTGATTGTGAAATCTAGTCAGTCACTGCCTCCCGTGACACAAATGGAATTGCTCGCCTGCCCTGGCCTCCCAACAAACATGAGTGGCTGGGACTGACCACGTGTGACCACGAGTGACCACGAGTGACCACGGGTGACCATGGTTGACCACGGATTTTCGGTACCGTCTGAAAGAATTACCGTAGAATGGTGGTCAGTTGACCATGGTCGACCACCACTGACCACGGGTGACCACGGGTGACCACGACTGACCACGGGCAGCCATGGCCGACCATCACATCTACAGGACAACGCTGCAGGCTCCACAAAGACCAAATTCATCGTTCCGTTGCTGCCAAATCATGGGCTTTCAAGGGAAGTGCTAGCGAAGGTGCTAGCTAGCAGCTAGTGGCTACATTATTCTGTTATTGTTGTTGACTTCGAAACCTGTTGACGAGGACGCTTTTTAGTCGCCATGATGAACGTAACTTTGCCATCTTTCTCTCTGCCTGGTCCATGGATGCTTGCCGTGGCTTTGCTGCCAACCATAACGTTGTCAGGAGGTACTCAATTTGCTTTTGTTTCCTCTGCAGTGGCTATTTTTACTTGGATTTGGATTCACTACAAGCCCAACGAATCTGACATACTGGCCTCTGTCGATGACGACGTCGCTCCCACTGAAAGTGCAAAGTCCAATGCTTTGACGGTGCGCTCCCCACCATCTCCTTTCAAGAACTTGTTTGATCAAATTGTTCAAACCAAGCCATCCGCCAACCAAAACGCCCCAGGCTTTATTGAATATCCGATCACTGTGCATGCGAGTTTCCTCCTCGGCAATGGAGTTGTTCTCTCCATCGCTTCCGGCGACATTACTGGATTCCAGCACGACCATGGGTGCTTGGTTTCAGCTGTCATCAACAGGACCGAGGCCGGATCAGGCGATGAAGCGCCGACGACGAAGCTGTCGCTTACCCTCAACAAGAAAAAAGAAGACAAGCCCATCCCTGTTGGCAAGGCCAGGATGATTGGTCCCGGGCCCAACAATCCCTATAGGCATTACAAGAACCTAAAGGTCCCCTACGTTATTCATGCTTGTGGTCCTGACTTTGGTGACTGTGACAGTGCCGAGACGGTTGCCAAAGCCAAAAAGCATTTGCGCAATGCTTACAGGAATGCTTTGCATCTCACCATCAACAAGCCCATTTCTGACATCATCTTCCCTTTGATTTCTTCTGGAGTCTTTCGTGGCCCCTTGTTTTTGTCTGAAATTGCTGGAATTGCTGTTCGGGCCATCCATGATTGGGCTGCTGAGAGCAAGGTTGCTCCCATTTATGCCAACAACGTTGTGCTGTGTGCCTTCACCTATCAAGAGCTCAGCACCATCATGGAAGAGTGCGACGATCTGTTGGCTGGAAGGATCAAGATTTCCAAGGCGTGAGCATTGGATGGCATCTCGGAATTGAAAATGAATAGCATCACCGGAAAGGAAGGAACAATATAAGAAATATAATGAAACATTATCGTTTACTTGATTGATTACTTGTTGTTAGTTGTTGTGCCTCTATTACGTGTTACGTGTTTCTTTCTTCTATCTAGCCAGCAACAGCTCCGACGGCAACAGCTCCGACGTAGTGTCTTGGCCAACGCGACAGGAACTCACAATTTGAGGTAGTGGTGGAGCATCGGTCGCGATGCGTGCATTGTCGCCGGTGCCATGTGCCAACGCCCACGTCCATCGCCTTCAGGTTTTGATGGGTTCGCCGGAGAGTATCGATCCGGTGATGGATAATCTCATGGCGGGCTCGAGCATGGCTCTTGGCCTTCTTGTCGGCTTCATTGATGTGATCATGGGGAGTGCGGACATCAAAGGGCATCCCCTTGTAGACTCCATCCGCCTCTACCATTTCCTCCGGTCCCAACTTGCCAAGCAAGTCATGGTGAAAGATCTTTGGATCATTCCAGCGTCCAGCAGGAAAGGGTCCATTGATTGAAACAATATCTCCTGTTTGAATACAGACAGCAGTTTCATATCGGAGAGCAGCACCACCAACCTTCTTGCTGTACCATTTGGGGTTGAATGGAAGCTGCTTGCCAGCGTCGTTGCGAGGGCGCTCTTGTCCAGGTTTCAAGGGAGGCTCCGGAATGGCAACATCAGTGGTGTCAACAGTGACAAGGCAAGTCCTGCCTTTGTCACCACGGAAGCGATTTTCCCATTTGACCTGAGAAGGCAGCAGACGTGTGAGCTGAAGTCAACAATACACAACTCCACAACAAAGCAACAATCAACCTTGGCGTAAAACATGTCTTCAACGATCGGAAGGCAGTGGTAGACCCATCGTCGGAAAGTGCCTCTGTCACGAACTCCAACAATCTTGCAATGCACTCTCTCTGACCCATAGACGTTCATCCAAACCAACGCCCAAAGCAAATGCTTTGGTTTCGCTCCAATGAAGTTGTTACAATTCCATGCTTTGGCCACAATGTGTGGTGAACAACCAAAGTAAGTGACAAAGTCACGGTCAAATTCAGATGCAGGGCCAACAATCATTGGCTGAGCCAAAGCTCGAAAGGTGTGCTCAGTGAGACGCATTTTGATTTATGAGCTGATGGTTTGGTGTAGCTCTTATCCTCGG